CTCAGCCACACGATTCAAAAGGTGGCCGGCAAGTCTTCTCAGATCGACATGCGGGGAATCCCAATTCTAAAACTTGCAATGGCGTCGGAATGATAATCGACTCTTCGCCATTTTACATTCCCAACTATCTTTAAAAGGGCTGGGGGACAAATGTTGGACCCAATTCCAGTTCATTCGAATTTAGGAGCGGGCCAAGTAAAGCCCACTGAAGGAAAGGTCCGAGATCAAGGAGAAAAACTTGGTATTGCACTAGGATAAGAGAAGGGTTGTGCGGCTCATTAAAGAGACGAGGTCCGGTCCATACAGATTGGTTCAAACAAGCGAGACCGAGCTTGGGAATCGCGGGAAAAGTTGAGGTGAATCCAAGGAGGATTGACTATAAGGAGAGAGGAGGACATGTGAAAAACCGTAGAGAGAGCTTACTACCCACCAACCTCGTTCGACTTCGCATTGAGTCTTTTCTTTCTCTGATCTCATTTGTAGTTTTCAATCTCGTTTTATTCATTGTATTCACTCTTAACCATTAATAAAGTCCATTTTCATCTATCAGAATCTAATTATATCGTTGTGTTCTAAGGATATTGTTGCCTACATTTATTTTCTTCTTTAGATTTAACTTACAATCATTACAAAATATTTAGTGTAGATTTTAGGATCTATATTATCTATAACATAAACTAAAAATAACTTATAGACGTTATTATACTGAAAACTCAGACTTCTTACTGTTTATTTGATAGTACTATCTACTTTATTAAAACAGAAATACAAAAAACTTCTTGCATTATCTTAACTGATTACTTACATATTTTCTTTCCTTTGAAACTAATTCTAACCAGTTCATTTATTATAGTTTCTAAATAATTATAACTACTTTATTTACTGTATTTTCCAAATAATCTGGTAGCATTTATTACAAAAATATAAGCAATAATTAACTATTTTAAATGTTTTATCTTTTACATTTATTTTTTAACTTTCTTAACTGTTTTATTAATTGTCTTTAACATAATAATTGGATAGAATTTATTTTAAATGTTAAACATATTCGATAAGTTTGAATGAAATTGCTCCATTCATAACAAGAATTCGAGACGATTAACAATAAGTTTTTTATCTATTTTCAGAATCAATTAGAAATGGGTATTAAGGTATCCGTCGGATACGAATCGTTTATTTAAAATATCTGATTTTGAAATTTTAAATTACACTCCATTCAGGTATTAAGAAGAACCCAAAAATACTCAACTAACTAATATACAATTAGTGATATGGTGACACATATAAATATATAACTCTAATTACTAAAAATAACTATTAACTTCTTTTAAGAAACTAATATCCGCACAGACGTGCTGATCAAGATCTAGTTTATTCTAATTAAAACAGGAGTACAAAACAGTACTTGCCTATTTGTACGTGATTTCTTACATATTTTCTTTCTCTTTTTAATTAATTCTAATCACTTTATTTATTATTTTTTCTAAATAATCAATTCATATATTATCTTTACTAAATAATCGCTTCATCTATTATAATCACTTCATTTATGATTTCGTCTGAATATGAAGTCCGTATGGATTCAGTTTTGATGTATGGAAATTTTAAAATAGCCTAATAACTAATGTATCTGAAACATGTTCGGATATTTATACCAGAAATATATATATTAACCGATTTGATTCGGTATTTTAAATCCAAACTAAAAGTAGCCAAATAACCAAAAAAAAAAATCATATTACCTTATTTGATTAAGGTTCAGTTCTGATGTATAAAGCTTAAAATATTCAATTAATTATATGATAACAATTATAGAGTATAACTTAAATTATGAAAATAAAGTATTAATTTAAAAAAAAAAAAACTTAACATCCGCACAGACGTGTGATATGAAGCATATTTGCATTGTTTTAGCATTTTATTGTGTACATAAATCATCATATAGATTAGGGTTTAGGCATCTTTAGGTTCCATATTGCATTCATATGTTTCATTAGGTGCTGGAGTGTCCAATGGAATGATTTGAGGTGTTTGGAAGCATTGTGGTTCAAAAATGAGTAAAGAATGAAGATTGGTAAGGAATCTTGACAAAATAATAATGGGGCAAAGTCAAAACGAGCTGGCGCGGGTAGCCAGCCCCGGATTGATGCACCCGCGCGTCCAACAAGGCCAAGCTCCAACCATCTTGCGCGGGCTAACCTGCTCGGGTACCAGCACCCGCGCGGTCGAGAAGAGAGCAGGACGAGAGTCTTGCGCGGGTAGAGCTGCTCGGGTACGAACCTCAACTACAAATCCGAGTTGGCATTGCCCAGCCTAAAATTTACCTTATTTTCCAAGGTCCTTTTGGTCTTTTTGTCATAAAATCCTTGTGTCTCCACTAGACCATATAAATACTCTTGTAATCCCTTTTGAGAATCTTATCTCATTTTCTCTCAAGAACTTTGCTTCTCATTGTAAAAGCTTGAATCTTTATATCAATTTAAGAAAGTTCTTCATCTTAATTTCTTCTTCTCTTGCTCATTAACATGATTAGTCTTGACTCACATATGGGTTTAAGGCTTTTCATAGAGATTAGAGAGTAGCTAGTTTTGGGACTCATGGATTTAGATGATTGGAGTGATTAGATGATGATCTAGGGAGTTTAGGGTTAAATTCATCATGTTCTATGCATATACTTGAGTTTAATGCTATTTTAGACCTGATCATTCTAAAACAGAGTCCTAGACATTTCCTGCCCACAAGGTGTATGATGAAATGTCTGAATGACAGTATTTATGTTTTTTGCTTGCTTAGCTAAGGACACTTGATGCTAGGAATGCTTAGATGGTTAGTAGACTTTTTCTCAATGCTTGCTTGATTGATTTAGACCAAGGACACTTGATGTTTAGAGATTGATAGCAAATGAGCTTTTACCTTGACAAAGGACTAGTTTAGGATTGTGTCTAGCTAGACCTATAGGACTTGATATATTACTTGAAACTTCACCCTAGATTGGAAAATCACAAGAAGTCAAATGCCTAATCCATGAATCCTAGTTGTTCTTATTGATTAAAAGTAGTTCTTGTAGCTGTTTCTTGATTGGATTTGAGATCACTTTGTTTATAATTCTAGGAACTTCGCTTGTTACAAACCATCTCTCTTATTTGCTTAGCTTAGAAAAGTTTATGTATTCTTAGTGCTTAGATCACTAGTTCTATGTGGTTCGACAATCTTAACTACTACATTGATTTGCTCTAAGGGATTAAAAACCCTTTATCAACGTGTGGATCAACATCTAGTGCTTCTTTATTTTTGACATCAAAGCCGTTATTATGTTTTTTTGACATGCTGTTATCATGTTTAAAAATCAGATAAATGACATTGATATAAACAGAACAAATTAAAATAGAGAAAATCGTATTTAAAACATTGAGAGTGTTATTTACTAGAATTTTAAACATTAATTTTTTTTTTCCTAGCATTTTAAACTTTCAAAGTGACATTTTTATAATAACAAACATCCAACTATGTACAATTCATTTTACAGGTTAAAATAATGATATGTCATTCTCTTTTTTTTTAAAAAAAAAAGAAAGTTAATAAACACACTTAAAATTTTGAAAAAATGGAAAAATTATAAAAAAAATTCAAAAAACTCTATAAATCTCAAATTCAAAAATTTAAAATTTAAATTGCAAACATAAAAATAAAATATTAAAAAATCTAAATATTCAAAAATAAGATCTAAAATTAAAATGTAAAACTTAAACCTTAAAATAAAATTGAAAATTCTAAATATTCAAAAGAAGATCAAAATATTAAAAAAATAAATAAATATTAAAACATTTATTTGTATTTATATATCTAGTGTATAAGAGTCTTTTACCTCTCCAATGAAACATTTTGGTCATTTTTCTTCTTAGGAAATCTTTTTGGGACAATCTTAAAATGATATATTTGAGAGAATTATTAGCCCCGGTGGCCACCATCACTTAAAATGTGGCGAAATCGGCAGGCCTCTGGGATGCCTTCTGCGGAAGTGTACTTAGGCGTTAGTCGGACTTCGTAAGGTATTTGGATACTCGGGTTCTCAAAAAAAAACTCTGTTAATAATAAGGTTATAAGTTTTGATTTTTTTTTTATGGTGACAAGTTTTGCTATATTGTTTTTGATGGTGGCAAGTTTTGATATTGTCATAAGCGACAGTCACTGTCATTGGATGGAATTTAAAAATGAATATGACATCTTCGGTTAAAGGTTTATAATTTTAGTTTTAAGTTTGAATTTTTAATTTTCAATCTTACTTTTGAATTTTAGAATTTTAAAATTTTTATTTAAATTTTTAGTTTGACATTTTAAGTTTAGAGCTTATTTTTAAATTTTTAATATTTTATTTTTTAAGTTTGAAATTTGAATTATTAATTTTTTTAATTCTTAAAAAAATTCAATTTTTTTGTATTTTTTTATTTTTTATTAGTTAAAAAAAACGACACATCATTATTTTAACTTGTAAAATGAAAAGTACTGGTCGCCTATGTACAAGAAATCGTAATTGGAAGTTTGTTATGATAAAAATGTCAGTTTGAAGATTTAAAGTGCTAACCAAAAAACTTTGGTGCTTAAAATGCTAATAAGTGACACTCTCAATGTTTTAAATGTTATTTTCCCAATTAAAATATGTTGTAATCCAAAGTATTTGAGCCATGATGCTAATTAATGATTTGTTCATCTTTGAATATATAAACTTACGAAGTGAATTCGTATAAATTAAAGTGCCAAATCACCTTGTTCACCTATTTCCTTTTGAAATTGGTCATAGTAAGACTTCAGAAACGCAAAATTTTGTTTTATTCATAACTCATAACCATATATTATGTACATAGAATGATACAAAGATACTAATCAAAGTAAAACATACAAAAGAGAAACAAACTCTCCAATACAAATGCGTTTTAAACATATTCATATATATATAGACTATAAGATAACATAACATATGCTAGAACATGCATGTGCTTTAGTTATAATGAACAAGTGGCCGCACACGTTGTCGTACAGTCAAATGAACATCCTCCGCTCCTGCTAGTGCTTTTGTAACCTTCCTTGTTAACGTTGGTTGATTTGTAGCACGTCTCAGGACACTTCAACTTCTTACCCTTACAAGGTCCTTGCATGCTGCATGTCTGTACCGAGAAATCTGTTCGGGGAAATTTAGGAATCCCATGAGTTCCGTGATGAAACCCTTGAATCCCGTGAACTTTATTAATCCCATTGATAGACTCCCCATGGAACCCGGATTTGGAGAAAAACTCGTGGAATGCACTATCCCAGAGTTGACGACTTGCTTGTGATGAAGAGACAAATATGATTAGGAGACAAGGTAGAAGGAAAGATTTTGTAGACATTTTGTTGTTGTTGATCGTGTATGAATTTAGATTATTATTGTCGTTGGTGTTGTTGTGAGATTGATGATTTGATTTATACAGTTATGCATTAGAAAATGACCAATCGTTTATTTTTGACTATTTGATGGAAGCGGCAAAGAGAAAATTTAGGTAGGCTACAATATTTTGGGAAAGTGTAATTTCATATTCAACGGAACTGATTGGTGGGAGTAGGATATGCGATTAAGAGCACCTCCACTGCTTTTTTTTTTTTTTTTTAATTAAAACTCCCTAAAAAGGGGATCGGATAATACATTCGCCGTGGGCAAGACCAAAACAACAGCGTACAGACAACAATAATCAAAGAAAAGAGCACAACAAGATCCAGATCGAAGATCTAAAAAACTAAAGAGAGAAGATACTCGAGCGAGGGTAAGACGACCAAGGAGTAAAACTCCAACTCCGACGAACACGAATGGATAGCAGTACCGACGTCATCGCAAACTCTAAATTCCACCGACCAAGAGAGACTACCGCGTCTAAGAGGGAGATGTCACAAGGAACCGCCATCCCGGAGATACGCTCGTCGACTACGGCAGGCTTCACAGCGACGGCGCAAAAAGAAGACCCCAACCCGATGTCTAACTTGCGAAATGACCAGCTTGCCTCCACCGTCCTCTAGCAGAGACCAACAGCCAGCTTCCGACGAGACACCAGGATTACGGCTCCTACATAGAGGTCCACCGAGCAGAGACCTGTTCACCGCGGAGAAGATAAGGTTGCGCCTCCGTCGGACCTCCGAAGGGGGGGGGGGGAGGGAGCTTCGTAACAGACTGTCGTCAAACCAGGCTGGAGAAGCTCCTCCCAGATCTGGATCTGAAACTTTGGGAGAGAAAGGAGTAGGTGCGTGTCTTCATTTGCCACTCAAAGGCTCGATACCTCCACTGCTTTTGTTCTCAATAAGTTTCTAGTAATTAAAAAAAGTAGAAAATAGTAGAAAGACGACCAAGGAGTAAAACTCCAATTTAAGAACTACTAGATCCTTTTTCCGCGCTACGCACGGATAGTTTACTTAGAAGCTTTGTCTAGTAATGAATAATATTCATGCATGATGTAAAATATAAGAACTTAGAAACTGATAAAATATATTAAGTTGAAGGTATTGTATTTGTTAAACCATCCGATTGGCTTGGGTTGACGGTGTTATTTGACTTTATCTTTAAAATTTTATGAAGCTCTAATTGATATTATCTATATTTTTTCAACTTTTTTTAAAACTCTAATATTTTGCCAAAGTGTTAAGAAAACACTGTTGAAGGTTATTAGTTAATTTGCTTACTTTTTATTATTTTAGGATTTATTTATGTGCCTAAGACAACATCATACTTACGGGATGATGAGCTAGTGATAACTTACACAATTAAAAAAAAAATTCATATGAAAATTCAACCAATACATTAATTCAATTTTATGTCTTTATACATGGGAGACTATTTCAAGAAGAGGTCTAGTAGCAATAATTTGAATTGTACAAAGTGGAGGCCTTGAAGGGGGGGGTTAAGAAACAATTAGGCGCTTATAAAATTGAATGCATATTTAAGCATCCTCATATAGTAAAAGGGAAGTCTTGTTTGGCCTTAATTAAGTTTGGATCTTTGTTCTTGAATACATGGTTGAAAATATGATATTTTGTAGATGCCTTAATCTTTGTGGAGTGTAAGCATTGTAAAATTAATAGTTAAATCAGCATCATATTTAAATTAATTATAAATATATTTGTTTTATTAACTTCAGATAATTGTGGATCGTAAAAGATTCTTTTATACACTATGTTATTTACTTGTGGAATATGTGAATATGTTCCTTATATAATTGTCAACCAAACTTTGTTAATAATACGTGAAAATGCCATATACAACTATCCATAAATAAAGACTGGTTTTCGCAAGTTTAGGAAAACCTTTTTAAGCTTAGATCTTGACTCTTATTTATTGTCATAGTGTAACATTGTTTGATAGGACAATGTTACCTCCTACATAAGAGAACTTTTTTTACCAACGCAAAAACCATGGACAGTTTCTACTTCAAGTACTCGGTCACTTAAATAAACCACAATGAGCCAGATACATCAATCTAATTAATAATCAATTATTTGTCAACATCAACCATTTGTAACAATTGTAACACATGTTTTTTATTTGTTGTGTGAACTAAACGGGGGACCCCATATTTCTGTCCAAGTCTTGGTGATGTTTCTGAAATGCAAAATAGGTTATTTTTTATTTTCTATTTCTTCAAACTAAATGTTTTAAATCCTCCATCAGAACTTATAATAACTATTTTAAAATAATATGTGTCATATATTCTTACATATAAATGTTTAAATATCAGACGACGCATATGCATTTCTATAGGTATGACTTATTTATGAGAATTTAAATTTGGGAAAAAATTGTTAACAAATATAATGAATTATAAATCACATGAAGGTTGAGTAACATATGTAATTTTATGTGATATTTAAGAGTTTAATAGTTATCAAATACTTAATAATAGTGTGCGAATAAATACAAAGAAATAGCAGTTGATCTTTGTGGATGCATAGAAAGGGAAGTATGAATTAGTTTCTATCCAATGGTGTTTTCTTGTACACTGTTTAAAATATTAAATGAAAATATTCAAAAGTATGTAATCAGAATGCTAAAATTAATAATATTAAATATGAAATAATCTACATGAGATTATAATCTGACCAAACCTTTAAACTTTATGTTAAGAAAAAAAGAAACCTTTAAACTATAAAAGAATAGTTATTCAAGATTATTACTTAGTGGTCTTGCCTTGTATGTAAGTTTGATTTAATTGTTATTCATGATTTTTGCATTGCAGATTGCAAATGTTGTTGGCCATCTCCAACAAACAGACGGCAAACCTCTAACAGTGTCCAGTGGTGGACATTTAGTAACACTCAATCTGATCAAAATTAACATGACTATGAAAACTAAACTACAAAACATTTATTTACTCTTTATCTTCTTTCGAATCAAAGTTAAATTTATTGAAGTAAAAAGAATTATTTTTATATCAAATACGTCTTTTATGTTTGTTTAAAGGGCTTTAAAAGAAGAAAAATATTAAAACGGCTTATTTGTAGAATAACCATAAAAAGAGGGGGAACTATTAAAAATGCTTATTTGAATCAAACACCATTATTACTAAAACTTCCAGTACATAATTAATATCAAGATATTATTTTGACTAACTCCAAAAGTAAGATAAAATTGTACAATGGGATTCTCATTGCTTTTATATAAAGCATTTGGCATTATAGAAGAAAGACACTTACTAACAATACATCAACAGATCTCCCATTGTGAATATTAGTTTTTTTTTTCTTTTGAGTCTGAAAGTACACACACAAAAAATTCGTAAGGTTTTTGATAGAGTGGCGCAAATCAGAAGATTTTTTGCAGTTGTTTCTTGGGCATCCATTACGTTATAGATTCGTCGCAATACGAGATGTATTTTAGGTTAAGGAAAGAGATAATATCTCGACTCTGCTATTGTATAATCTTCTTTTCTTAATCTTTGGTATAATTTTATCATTTTATTTTTACAATATTCACAGGATCCTGATTATATATTACGGTTTTATCAGAGATATATGAAGAGAAAAGAGGAGAGGGAAGATTTAAATTAGATAGTGAAAAATATTTTTTGGTGTTGTTAGGCATAATTTCCCTTAAAAATGGTAATTATAATCTAGCTAATGTACTTATTCTTTATCACATTTTTCCTTCCACACAACTATTTATCACCATTGGCTCGTTTAAGTTGAGGTTTATTTTATCTGGATACTTTGATTCTCCATGAGAATGTCAATGACATAAATTTTGGAATTCTAATCAGTCAATTTCTTAAAACCAAATAGTTATAGTAGAAGGAAAAAATGAATGAAATTCCTAGTATGTATAGGACTTTCTTTTTGTTACCAAGAGGTATTTGCTGTTTTTTGGTAAGTGATAGTTGTACGTATAAATACCAAGTGTTAAAACAAAAATATCCACTGTGAAAAAGTAAATGAAATTTCTAGTTCGTTTTCTTAATCATTCTCACTTTAAATATGTTTTATATATTTGTAATAAAGTTGGCTGTTTTTTTTATTTTTTTGACATTTTGTTTGATTAAAAATAGATAAATAGAATTTATACACATGAAAATAACATCCATCAGTACACTTGTTTATTAGTGGCAAAGAAAGTCCACTTGTCGCGTCTCTTTATTTGTTAATATTTTTTTTAAGTATCTGTTTTCTAGTGCGGTCCAAGTCATGTTGGGCTATTGTTGTCTGCATATGCATGCTTTCTATAAATTATATTGCTAATGTCTTCTCTTTTAAAAGTTCTGTCCATAAATCGATGTTACTAATGCTTATTATCGTTAACTTCGATTAAGTGTAGGAGTTATATAATCTAATAATTGTGTTCAAAGTGGAAAGTCATTAAGGCATTATTATAATAGGAGTTATATAATCTAATAATTGTCGTTAAGGCATTATTATAAAAGATCCATGGACACATGTGCATTTTCCATATATCTCAGTACTGTAATCAACTGCAACCCCATAATTACAAAACAAAGAAAAGTGAATTAAGTTACAGTTATAGCAGAACAAATAAGTCTATCTTTTTCCCATATGGTTATATGAGAAGAGACATATTTAAGCTTCTTTCACCAAAACCAGTGGAGCTAACACATCCTATTGCTGCTTCTCTAGAATCAGGATCGAAAAGTTCCTCGGTTATTAAATCATTGCCTTTACGGAAGCTAGGTGGCATCAAATCTTAAACCTTTCTCCCAATTATGCTCAAAAATAAGCAAGCACTACATCATCTCGTAACAAACCAATAACTTCAAGATGACAATGTTTTAACACAAAACCACCTGAAAATGTGATGCTTCGATTAATATGAGTAACATATACTTTTTTGCCAAACGGATGAAATTTGGAATATCTCGTAAACCAATAATCAAATTTTAAATATTGGCACATGACCTAGTTTAGATTTTGTATATGTGCTAGATTTCTAGAAATCAACATTCAGTTTATTTTTAAATGTTCTAAACTTTTTTAATATGTTTCAAGCATGAAACCAGATTGAAATTCTAACCGTACATCATGTTTTGAACCCCTCGATAACTAAAAAGAATCAAAACAATGTTCTCAACAGCATGAATCTCAAGAGTGATGACAAACTGCAAAAATGTATAAAATAACAATCATACAGGCATGTTTAAAGCTAGAAACGAACTAATATGACTAAACGTAACTTTATAAAATCAAAAAGAGCAGAGAGAGGGTGACGTACACTGAATCCAGCATAGAGAGTAAGGTCTCTCCATTAAAAAGGAAGAACATGAAGATTTCCTGAAGTCATTTCTACTACACGACTGGGACCATCTCCAGGTAATCTACGGCTGCGAGAGGAGCTTTCAGTAGAAGAGCAGCTGGAGCAACAACCTGATTAGGTTTGGAGTTAAAATCTTTTTTCTTGGGAGCACCGATGATCACAACATCGGGTAATGGTGTCATTGGTCCTATCCTTGTGTTGACCTTTCTTTGTCAATCCTTGTGCTGTGTGCATTCAAAACGTTACAACTTTAGAATCTTAGTATCAGAAACGAAAGAAAATGGAGAATATACAATATTTTCATATACATGTAAAGAAGCAGCCAGATTTTACCAAATTAATCCACATTATCATTCTCTTTCTTGAAGTATTGTTATCACTTATCAGATCATCAACCCAAAAAGTACACTTGAAGATTAATTATGGAACACAAACCTACTGGGACCATCAACCCAAGATTCTTTCAAAGCATACCTCTCTCTCTCATGAACGTTGACTTGATGCTGGATTTGATTTGTCCGTAATCCCCAATAAAATATCTTTGATCCAAATATATTATTTTCCTTCATGTGCTCTACGGCCCCAACGATATCTTGTGATACTTTCATCTCCCTCTACCCATTTCTCATAGCAATAAAGATCAGATGAAATAAAATCCCAAATCTTGTGAGGCTCAGGAGAAGGAAAGAAACAAAGTCACTCTTACTTTAATCGCGTACAAATCCATTAGCTGAATTTAACATCTGCAGTATAATACCATGAACAGCACCAAAGCTCATTCTGCAATTTTTTTCCCAAGAGAGAATCACATTCAAGTTACAGTCAAACAACATTATTCAAATCTGAAAGCGTCAAAACCATAGAATCAAACACCTTAAATAGTCACCATCAAGACCCGCAACAATCACAGTTTTGCCATCATCATCAGCGACTTTGCAGCAAAACTCATAAAGGTCTCCAAAGAACTGAACTTTGTCAATACAAATCACATCAAGCTGCAACCATTTTAAGAAAAAAAAATACAGATCCCTTCACAATAAGACCAAAGCAGAGACTTTACCTTGGCATAAGCATCCTGTCCGAATATATCTGGAAATGAAATAAGATCCGGAAGAGCCGAGCAAGGGAATCCAATTCCATCATGCGTCACCACCAAATCTTTAGCGTATCTCGTATCTTTACTCGATTTCACCATCGCAACACTTCTACACAACCAAAAAAGGAAAGAAATTTAGAAACTAAGATCACTGAATCCGTTGAATACGGTGGTAGTTGTTTTGTTTTCCGACGCTGATCTCCTACTTGATACGGCGGAGGAGAGAGGTCGATTTCCCAGAAAACATAGGACCCATGATAACATGAATAGATCGGAGATAACATCTCTGGAGATGCCACTGTCGAGAGTCGCCATGTAAGAGAAGAGTAGTGGTGTCTTGATTGTGCAAAGGTGTATCGATAGAACTCAATAGCTATGGTTTCAAGCGGAGAAGACAAAGCAAACCAATCATAATACTAAACAAAGATGACGGGGCAATACAAAGCTTTCTAATTGGTCGATTATATTTGCATACGTGTACAGCTTCTCTCGCTCTCATATAGCCCTTTTAATATAGTTAGATTCTAATAACTAAAATGAGCGGGAGTGTGGAGGAGTCGAATTTAAGAACTATTCTAATAACTAAAATGAAATTAGATAATTGTAATATTAATTTAATTTATTTTAAGAAACTCTTGTTTCTTGTCGTTAAAGCTGCTCTACTTTCAAAGAGAAAAATAAAACTATTTTGGTGTAGTTTAGGCATGGGTATTCGGGTCAGATCCTTTCGATTCTGGATCTTTTCGGTTTCGGTTTCTTTGGGTCTTAGAGTTTAGGATTCAATAGGATACTTTGAAATTTTCGGTTCGGGGTCGGTTTGAATCTCATCGGATCCAAGTCGAATCTGGTCGAGTTTCTAGGAACAGGTGATACCCGACATTTTTTTGTTCTTAAAGATTTTGGGTTTTCGAATCATTTTTAGAATTTCCGGATTGGGTTTATCTGTTTTCGGTTCGGGTCTACCGTGTTCTGGTCCAAATTACCCTGAGATATTACCATGAGATATTACCATGAGATATTACCATGTAATTAAAAACTGCAATGCTTTAAAACCTGCAATATGTCAATTTATCATACTTCATAACAACAATATTTACTAGCAGTTTTGAAACATAAGACTTAACACAAGTTTTACCATAAATTGTAAACATAAATAGTTAAAATGATCAAGTGCAAATTCAAAAACATAAAAACTAGCCAACTAGGCAACCAAAAAGCAAAAACAACAAGTAACAACAAACTGATACAGTGATACTCAGTCTCCAACTCTCACTATGCTTATGAGAAGCAACATTCAAACTTGAAACAAAGGTTCAAATTCTAGAAAACGAAATCAGTGAAGTGTAAAACAAACTAAAAACATAATGAAAGTGGACATAAAGATTAAAAAGATTAGAAATCAGAAATCATACCTCTCATAAGAGCTTTTCCTCTTCTAACAACTTAAGCATTTGTTCTTTTCCTGTGATTAATTTTCCTTTTGAGTATAATCTCACATTTGAGCCACTTCTCCATGCACATCAATACTTCTATCATATAGTGCGTTAAGCAGCTTCTGCTTGAGTCTAAAATTCGGCCACTGGTGCTGAATGCTGATTCAGATGTAATAGAATTCACTTGCATTAAAAGTCATCCCTAGCTAATAGTGATAGAACTGGATACTTTGCACTATTAACCTTCCAGAAAGAGAGTACATCATACTGTGAACCACCCATAAGGTTTGGAATCTCCACATTCTCTTTTAGATACATATCCAACTCACTGGTTTCTTCCTAAAATCATGTTTCTTGAACAAGCGCTCTTTGTAAATGTCATTCATGCTCTCATAGGCAAATCCTCTGAGATACTTCATCTCCTAACTGATCATGTGACTGAGATTGAGATTGAGATTGAGGCGATGGTCCTTGAGACTGACTACAAAATGATGAAATTGAACCACCAGCAGTGCCACTACCATTGTTGTACTGATCAAACAAATCCCTCAAAATCTTCTCGACTTCATCTTTCAAACGAGTAATCTCAACCGAGCCTTCTCCATACAAATTCTAAAATACCTTTGTGGTAACCTTCATCTTCTTGGTTGGGTTAAGAACACCAAAGAAAATTACAAGTTTATTCATTTTCTCAGGATTTGTTCCAAATGGATTCCAATACTTGCCTAATTTCCCTAACATGTTTGCTACCTTAAACCTTAAACTCTAATCTGGACCAGGAGCAACGCTTGAAACAATAATGTTCTTCATTACTGTGATGATCGAATGATACAACTTAACAGAATTCGTTGCAGACAGAACTAAAGTAGCTTTGTAGAAAACAGTTAAGAATTGGACTAATCTATCAACTGCTTCCCAATCATCTTTACCCGGTGGTTCAACTTGTTTTTCGTCCATGACATCATTGAAGTAGTCGTTGTAGTCTCTCGAAAACATAATGAAAAAAGAAAACAACGCATCACTAGCAATATAATATTAGGATTAGTGTCACTTCTGTGTTCACCAAATCCATGCATTATTAGCAATAACCTAGTAATGTCCAACATGTTCTGATATATATATATATATATATATATATATATATATATATATTTTTTTTTTTTTTTTCTTTTTTGAAACCATTTTAGAAATATGTTATGATATTTTATAAAAGAAACTTAATTTTTTCAGAAAACGAATCACGTATGATGATCTTCTAACATTTTATAATTTAAATTGTTACGATAATTTGTAAAACTAGTTCTAATAAAAATGAATACAAATCAAATTGCATTTCTCCACTAGAGATTTGGAGTCGCTATTTACAATCATCTTCATTACTAATTAATTTCTGATATACTCTATTAACGTGAGGGACTTTTAAACACTAGAAGGATGATGATACTAAAATGAAAATGTTAAAGAAGTATGGATTGAGTTCAAAGCCAACGAACAACCTAAAAGTTCTCAGAGACATATAAGCCTACAACTAGGAGACAAATAACTAAATACAGAAACTAGTTCAACCAAAACAGATCATTTCAAATCCAAGACTTCAAGAACAGAGTAGTATGCAAGAGACATCACACAAGGAACTTTGAATAGAGACAATCGAGGAAGCAAACATATTGCAAAACCTAGAGTGAATAGCCCAAACAGTTAAAAGAAAAAATCTTTAATCACCGGTAATACAGAACTTCTATAAGTTCCAAAACTGACGATGATGGATTGAAACGTCAGTATAAGGCAAGACAGAAGGACACATCTCCATCAGACCTTAAGGTAGATGAAAAAGAGCGCAACGAAACACCTCCAGATTCAACCACTCTCAAAAAACTGAGATGGTAAAAGATCGAGACTAGAAATGAACCAAAGAAACCTCGGAATCAACATGCAACCTCTTCAATTAGTCACTGGATTTCAAAGACAAAAGCGGATCTGAATGAAATAAAACTAAACCAAGGCCGACTAGTAATGCATGCATTTATAAACAAGGAGGATCAACAAAATCTCTCATTCACCCCAGAAACAAACAACCTATTGGAAAATTTAAACCATAGTGAAAATTTTAATGTTTATCTATAAATAATGAGACCAGGATGTATGGTAATATGAATATGAGTTTTAAGTTTTTTTGACAATATTAGTTGGAGTGCTGTTTGGTTATCTTTTAAGTAATTATAAGAGAGTTTAACCATATATGTATAAGATTATGCTGGCCTCTTTGTAACATCCCAAAATCCAAACCCAAAACTTTTTGTGGGTTTAAGGGAAAGTGAACTAGGTTTATGACCCATTAGAGTAA